AAACACTTGGAAGGTAATAAAGTGATAGGGAATAGCCAGCATGGGTTTATGAAGAACAAGTCATGCCAAACTAATCTGATACCTTTCTTTGATAAGATAACGAGCCTTGTGGATAAGGGAGAAGCGGTGGATGTCATATACCTAGACTTTAGTAAGGCATTTGATACGGTCTCGCATGATATTCTTATTGATAAACTAGGCAAATATAACTTAGATAGGGCCACGATAAGGTGGGTGCATAATTGGCTGGATAACCGTAGTCAGAGAGTTGTTGTTAACGGTGCTAAATCCTGCTGGAAAGGGATAACAAGTGGAGTTCCGCAAGGGTCTGTTTTGGGACCCGTACTATTCAATATCTTCATCAATGATGTAGATATTGGGATAGAGAGTACGCTTATTAAGTTTGCAGATGATACCAAACTGGGTGGGGTTGCAACTTCTTTGGAGGATAGGGACATAATTCAAAATGACCTTAGCAAGTTAGAGAAATGGTCAGAGGTAAACAGGATGAGGTTTAATAAAGAGAAATGCAAAGTGCTCCACTTAGGAAGGAACAATCAGTTCCATACATACAAGATGGGAAGCGACTGTCTAGGAAGGAGCATGGCAGAAAGGGATCTAGGGGTCATAGTGGACCACAAGTTGAATATGAGTCAACAGTGTGATGCTGTTGCAAAAAAAGCAAATATGATTCTAGGTTGTATCAACAGGTGTGTTGTAAGCAAAACTCGTGAAGTCATTCTGCCGCTCTACTCTGCACTAGTTAGGCCTCAGCTGGAGTACTGTGTCCAGTTCTGGGCGCCACATTTCAAGAAAGATGTGGAGAAATTGGAAAGGGTACAGAGAAGAGCAACAAGAATGATTAAAGGTCTAGAGAACATGACCTATGAAGCCAGGCTTCATGAACTGGGCTTGTTTAGTTTGGAAAAAAGAAGATTAAGGGGGGACATGATAGCGGTTTTCAAATATCTAAAAGGGTGTCACAAGGAGGAAGGAGAAAATTTGTTCCTCTTGGTTTCTGAGGACAGGACAAGGAGTAATGGGCTTAAAGTGCAGCAGGGGAGGTTTAGATTGGACATTAGGAAAAAATTCCTAACTGTCAGGGTGGTCAAATATTGGAATAAATTGCCAAGGGAGGTGGTGGAATCTCCCTCTCTGGAGATATTTAAGAACAGGTTAGATAGACATCTGTCAGGGATGGTGTAGACAGAGCTTGATCCTGCCTTGAGGGCGGGGGGCTGGACTCGATGACCTCTCGAGGTCCCTTCCAGTCCTATGATTCTATATCATTATTCTATGATTCTATGATTCTATGCTGCTTGCAGAAACTGGATTATTACCTTCAAAAATATGGGGCAGGGGGCTCTTCCATAAACACTGTTTTTGATGCGACATCCTTAGCATGAAGAATGTTGGACCTGAATGTTTCACCAGATGCCTGTTTTACATGAGTCTACCTTAACTGGGCTCTGTTAAATTATTCCTGTTTTACACTAATACCCAGGAGTAGGAGAAAAACGAGGCCCAACTTTGCTGAGTCCCGTGCTATGAACCCTTCTCCAAGTCTCACTCATTGTCTGTTAACCAGTACAATATGAATGCTATATCAAGACTGCACCAGTTTGTTTCTGCTTTCGTGTTCATTGCCCTCTGTTGATTTTACCTATCATTTCTAGTCATTCACACCCTCTCTTTCAAAAACCACTGAGCAAAATTCAGTTATATTCTCTTTTAGGGATAAATCCAAACCCCATGTATGGGAAGTGTGGAAGTCTTGCTGGTAGTAGAACTAATGAGGTGCCATGACACACCAGGCGGATGAGTCCCTTCTGGTACCCTCAGCATTTCCCCAGCACCAGCCTGTGTACTTAGAGGTGTGTACTTGGCCATGGATTTGATCCTTATTTTCATTTGTTTTGCTGATCTTCATAAGAAAGGACACAAGCCTGAAAAATGTCCAGCATGTTCTGAAAGATGATGAGTGCCTTCAAATCCCACTGAATTCACTACAAAGCACGGGTGCACAATAATTCACAGGCTCAGATTCATCAGTTACCACATTGGTTACTCAAGTTATAATGCATCATAGTCCCTTAAAGAAGTGCAGACAATCTGATTTGCTTCTTAGCTGGCTTGCTTACTCAGTATCATTAACAGAAAAGACCAGCTAGCTTTGACATACTTAGAATACCCCTGTCCAGAGGGTGTTTTCTACTTTGCTATGTGAATTCCACTGAATAACCAAGTTATTGTAAAAATAAAAGCTACTCCCTTCCTGCCAAAAAGGGACTTATAAGACTCCAGTATCATAGGAAGGAATTCAGCCTCCAGCTTAAAAGAGTTTAACTACAGGGTAGTCACACCACTCTTTTATTTTTCATCTTCCCGTGACCTTTACTGTCATCTAAGTATTTAGAATAAGCTATGTTACTGTGTTTTTTTTCCAGTGTCTCCCACTTTGGGTCTGTCTCTGTCTCTCTCTCTCATACACACACACTTCCTAGCATCTCCCACTTTGGGTAACACACATACACACAGACCATTCTGTGACTTGACACCCCTTCTTTCTTAAAATCTTACGGTGAGAAAAACCTGGCTATTAGTTTAGAGCTAGAGTTTTGGGGTCCAGAAACTCATTCATCCACTAGTTTCAATTCTTTCCTTTTTTGTATTTAAAATTAGAGCTTTTACAGGTTCATAGTAAACCGCTAGGTATGAAAGTGGCACTTTAAAAAATAAAAGGAGTATCTGCTTCAAAACCATTTAAAATAATTCAAGCATGTTTATATTTTCTTCTCGTTGAGTTTAAAGATACAGTATACAGGTTGAACCTCCGAAATCCAGGATTCTCTGGTCTGGCAACATCTATGGTCCAAAAGGACCATGGATGTTGATAGATCAGAGAGCCCCAGCACTCAGGAGCGTGAACCCCATCCTTGGTCTGGTGGGGGAGAAGCGGGGTCACGCAGCTGGGGAGCTCTGTCCCAGGTGAGCCCCAGCTGGCAGGGCATCAGCGGGACTGGCAAGCCCTGTCCAAGGTGGAGATCTCTGGTTGGGCAGGGGAGAAGCGGGGCTGCGGAGGCTAGGGAGCTCCATCTTGGGGCGCTCCAGCAGGCCAAAGCCCAAGTTCAAGCCCTGCAGCTGAAGTCTAGTGGCAGTGGGGCCGCAGCAGAACCAACTGCAGGAAGGAAAAGTGTCCTGAGAGGCCAGTGGCAGGGGACCTCCCCATATCCAGCAAATTCCTTCATTCGGGACAGATCAGGTCCCAGGGTGCCAGACAAGGGAGGTCAATCTTGTATTACTCATTCATCTCTTTATTCATTTTCTCTCTTTTCTTTAAGGTATCAGATATTTAAAAATATTGTGTGAATTTATTATTGCGGGTGAAAAGTATCCACAGAGCAGACACAGTATGAATGGCAGCATTGCAAGCTTCCACCACATCATACTCTATCAGTGGACGTTAACTTTTAGCTGGAGGTACCAGAGAATATTTCAGTCTATATGTTCTTTATTCCTTGGCCATTCTGCTAAGGTCACCGAGGAAATCAGGCTCCAGTTCTGAGAGTGGTTTTTGTGATGTAGGTTCTTCTTGCTGGGGACTGAACTAAGCAAATGCATTTCCTATAGGGTCAGTGAATAACCAGCATATAGTGGCACCAATCTACATCTACCAATGCTCTGAATTAATGATCTAGAAAGGCTTTATTTCCTATTATGAATCCAGCCCTCCTGTTTAAGAACTTTCAAGATCAGGATCCATTCTGACATCATTTTATTGGTTTTTCTACCGTAAACAATTCAGCTCAAGGCATCTGTAGTTTCATTTGACTGTGTCATTAAAAGACCATGCGTTAGTTTCTCCTTGTTACTTGAGGTGTCTGATGGAAAGGCTAGAACTGCTAACATGAAAACCATGAGTACAGCTCAAATGACCTCTGACTGCCATTCTAGAGCTATTAGACACAGGACTCTTTTCCCCTACCTGCTAGCTATTTGAAAATTGAACTAGTAGTGCAATGATACTCCCAAAACAAACTTTACTTTGGTTTGGCATGAGGTACAAGGCAATTCAGAAATTGGCACTGCCTGAAAGTCTCCTGCCTTGTTATTTCCTTCCAAGAACATTAAAAAAATTATGTTTTCCATTTTCCTTACTGTTCACACTGCAGAGCTAATAGTTTTTAACAAAATGAATCTCCAGCAACCACAATAATGTGAATACTTGAGGAAGATGAAGATCTGAAACACAGTGTGCAATTTGTTGGTACATTAAAAATGATGGTGTCAGCAATCTATCTCAAGGGATACATCCTACCAGATATAATTTACAAGTATGCAATCCTCCTCCATCATTAAGGCTGTCTTAAATGTCTCTCTGCAGGCTATGTGGTAGCTTTTTTAGTGTAAACTCTTGCCTGCTGAGGAGCAAGCTGATGCATGGGTGAGTGATTGTTGAGACTAAGTCTCTGGCACCTTAATACTGTTTTCAGCTATTTCAGAACTGATTTTAATATTGCATTTCACCATAAAATTGGAATGTTAATAAGGTACAAATAATATCAGCATTTGCCCATTCCATGGGAACTTATTTCAGTCCACTCAGCAGACAAAAAATAAATAAAAAGTGAATGATAGCTCCTGAAAGGTCCAGCAAGTGATTCTACAATGCACTGCTTACTACTATATATTAGATCCATTACTGACAGGGCCAGTACCTTCTCATAAGGGACATCTAATGACATGTTTAGACGGTAGCAGCTCTTGAATTTTCACTTCAACTACTGCTTTAAAATGACACTGTCAGTACCTAATGTGCACTTTCACCTGCTTTCTGATCTCTTATTAGTTAACCCCAAAGTGCATATGTATTCAGCTTTAATCCTCTAGTGTATATCTGAACCAGGGGAAATCTGGAATTAATTTCGAAGTATTTTGGTTACTAATGCAGCTGTTACAAGTGTTTGATTTGGCAAGGGAACAGAAAAGGCACTGCATACCAATTTCGTGAGCCACTGTAAAAGCTGCATGGAGGCCGTCATCTTCAATCACTGCACAGCTGCGCTCAGGAGAGCATATGGTCCCAACGTCTGCCATTCCCAGAGTATCACATGAATGATGCCCACACAAATCCTGCCAAGAAAGGGAAAAATCATTAAAATACATTTTTACACCCAGAGGTATCATCAACTTACAGTCACTGGCCCTTTGCTAACAGCAGGACCCGGATAATAATAATAATACTCTTCTGGACATCCATCTAAGGATATTAAAGCTCTTTACAAGCATGATGGCCCAATCCCATGCCCATTAAAGTTAATAGGAAACTTTTCATTGACTTTGAGCACTGTTGCATAAGTTTTGTAGTAAATTACTATGGTGCCTTCAGGCTCTCAGGGATTCCAGTGTGCTGCTAGACACAATACATGCGCATAGTAAGAGACAGACTCTGCACAGAAGATCTCATATCTACACAGATAAATGGACAAAGAAGGTAGGGCGAGAATATTATCCTGATTCTACAGCTGTGGAACAGAGAGAATGGGATCACACAGGAAGTCTGTGGCCAAGCCAGGAATGGAACTAAAAGTTCCAGAGTCCCGATCCAGGGTCTTAGCCCCAAGACCATTATTCCTTTCTAAGGAAAATATTTTTTACTGACACCTAAGGAAATAAGAGGGGATCCACTATTTCCTATGCAATATTAGACCTCACAACACACAAAGGAGACAGGCACAGCATGTATTATAATCGTCATTTTGCAGACAAGGAAACTGAATTGTAAGTGATTTTTCCCCCCACAAGGTCAGTCAGAGAATCAGTGACAGAGTTGGATATGAAAAAAATTTCTTGACTCTCAGTCACCTTTTGTAACCACTAAACTATACATTCCTATTCCTTAATGGCACTTGTAATTAATAATACCTAATTTTTTCATCAGTAGATCTCAAAGCACTTCATGGGCTTTAATGTATTTATCCACAAAACAACCCTCTGAGTTAGGGCACTATTACCCTCATTTTATAGACAGGGAGAGAGAGACAGAGAGACTCAATGATTCACCCAAGGTCACACGAGAAGTCCATGGCAGAGAGGGGAATTGAATCCAGTTTCCCAAGCAGTAGACTACTGCCCTGACCACTGAACCACTGTGGTGTTCTTACTATCGTTAGATGATCTAAAACTTATTCTATATGGAGTGTGACTGTAGCCATATTGGTCCAGGCTATTAGAGAGACCAGGTGAGTCAGGTCATACCTTTTATTGGACCAACTTCTGTTTGTGAGAGAGCTGAGCTTTCAAGCTATATAGGGCATGTGTATATATAAAGGACATCAGAAAAACTCATTGCCATTTCAATGGGCTTTGGACTAGGCCCTTATGCATTTTGCATACAGGTGTAATAAGATCCACTGTATATGCACTGCTGTATCTGTCAGAAAGTTTAACATACTGTAATATGCAAAATGCAGTTAACAGATTACTCTGCAACAGAGATGTTCAGATGGGCTTAAAGTGAAAAATACCACAATATGCCCACTACACAGCATGGTTAGATGAAAGTGCTATTTGAAGACATGATTGGCGGGGTTGATTTAGTTGGGATTGGTCCTACTTTGGGCAGGAGGCTGGACCTGATGACCTCCTGAGGTCTCTCCCAGCTCTGTGATTCTATGACTGTATTTTCAAATCCATCTGTCAAAGAACTAGCTCTGCTGAATAACTTATTTCTTTAAAACCATTCAGATTATCTTCCTTCATTTGAAATTTAGATATGAAGGAACTGCTTCTATCAAGCCACTGACAATTAGAAAAACTGTGTACAGACCAGGGGTAAATAAATTAAATGGAGTTTGAGCACTAAGCTACAGCTAAGATACTGAGGGAGGAAGAGGCGGGTGCACATCACATCTGTCTATTTCTGGTTTTGGACACAATTTTTGCATCACTATATTTATTTTGCTAAGAGGTGTGATTTTTTTTACCAAATAAAACCCATAATGTGGATGCTGTTACACCCCTATTGGAAAACTATGAGGTGGGTGGGCATAAATTCGCTCACACCTAAAGGACTCTCCCCCAGCCCATGAGGAGGATCGACTAATTATGAGGGATAAATAAAAAGAAAAGCAGGGGGAGGTGTTAAGGTCAAAGGACGAAAATGAGGAACTGGAAGGGAATACTGAATAAAGAGCCACAGAGATCACCTACTGCTCCCCAAAAGCATTGAGGGAGCAAGCAGACACCACCCAGAAGAACCCTGCCTGGATGCATAAACTGATAGAGGACCAAAAAAGGCCCCACAGTCAGAGGCTCTTCCCGCAGACAACCTCTGCTCCCTCGTTTTATAAATGGCCATCTTGACCATAACTGGTTATGAGAAAGGTTGATGAGAAAGTCCCGTGACTTTGTGGGGCTACAGATGGGGCATGCATAGATCAGTAGATGAGGGGAGAAGTGTAGCCAGAACCTCAATAAGAGGTTCTAGAGGAGCCGAAAGAGGGTCTGTAACCCGGGGAACCCCAGACAGACATGTGCCACGGTCTCTCTTATGCCACAGAAGGGGCAAGTATCAGGGACAAGAGTGAACTGCACCAAGTACACATCTGTACTCACAGTGCCATGCAGGATCTCCAGCTGATGTCCCTGGCGGGCCACGGGACCAAGATAGAAAAGAAGGTGGCCCACTGGGGTGGGTGCTGTTATACTGGTATAAAGGTGCCTTATGCCACATAATTGCTTCCACATTAGGGGTGTTACAATGTTTTAACTACACTGGTATAACCTTTGAATTTAGAATTCTTCTCTGTAAGTTTATAGATTCATGACAGAGATTAACTACAATACTGAACTAAACAAATTTTGCCTGAACAAATGTGTTGCTCTTAAATTTCCAAAGTGGTGCGTGGGGATATCACCATGCTACTTCCATTAATATCAAGACATACTCAGAAGTTGGTCCAATACAAGATATAATTTCACCTACCTTGTGTGTCACATTTATACACATGTTGCTTTCAACATGTAAGGGAACCTTTATTTAGCAATGCTTTATTAATACGGACATGTGGCTGACATCACCTCAGACTGCATACTGTGTGTCATCATACAACAGGTTCATGGAAATTTAGCATCGCCACACAAAAAGCATATCCAATTCTAGAGCAGTTGCCCAAAGTGCTGTCCATGCCAAAGTCAAGCCTATAGCCAAAAAGCTCACCACCAAATGTCACTACTATGATTATCTTTGTAACATTTGGATTTAGCCCAAATAAAATAGGCTTGAAAGATATACTTTCTTCACAGAACTTCACTTAAGGCAATTTGAAGCACTGACGAGATGCATTAGTTAGTGGTGACAACTGAAAGGTCCCAAGGAAGGAGATAAATTAGTCTGAAAATCCCATACCTTTCAAACTATGGTGTTCCTAAGCATGGTTGACAAGTGAAGGCCTAGCTTGAGGAGGCAAGTCCCAACCCCGCTCCTTCCATGCCTACCAGAGCCCAGTCCCATTGTGGCCACTGGGCTCTGCCCTGCACCACAATGTCCCTCTATTATGCCTGCTCCCGTCCCAAGGAAGGAGATAAATTAGTCTGAAAATCCCATACCTTTCAAACTATGGTGTTCCTAAGCATGGTTGACAAGTGAAGGCCTAGCTTGAGGAGGCAAGTCCCAACCCCGCTCCTTCCATGCCTACCAGAGCCCAGTCCCATTGTGGCCACTGGGCTCTGCCCTGCACCACAATGTCCCTCTATTATGCCTGCTCCCCCACACAGCTGCTGCATCTCCCCCCCGCCAAGAACTGCACTTCAACGCC